AAGCCCTATCTCTACTAAAAATACAAAAATTAGCTGGGCATGGTGGTGCGCGCCTGCAGTCCCAGCTACTCAGGAGGCTGAGGCAAGAGAATCACTTGAAACCGGGAGGTGGAGGTTTAAGTGAGCCGAGATCGTGCCACTGCACCCCAGCCTGGGTGACAAAGTAAGACTCTGTCTCAAAATAATTAATAATAATAAATTTTGGATTTCTATAATTTAAATAAAATGAATATAGTTATTAAGAAGAATGGATAAGTATCTAAAATGAGTGATTTTTTTAAAAAGTTACATGACAGAAGATACATATAATGAACTGTCATGTAGCACATTGTCATTTAAATATATACATTTGTATGTAAAATATGCAAATCTGAAGGAATAGACACCAGACTTAACCAGTCTTTTGGAAAATGGATTATTATTTTAGGGGACTTTCACATTCTGTGTTTTCAGGTTGGTAAATAGTTATAATAGTTTTACTATCATAATGTGTCATTTGTTAACATTTTTAAGAATGTTTCAGATGAAATAGAGTTGAAAACAAAAACGAGTTAATTTAACATATCAGTTAGAATGTGACTACTAGACTCTATAGGTTAAAAGTGTAGGCTCTGAGGCCGGGCGCAGTGGCTCAAGCCTGTAATCCCAGCACTTTGGGAGGCCGAGATGGGCGGATCACGAGGTCAGGAGATCGAGACCATCCTGGCTAACAGGGTGAAACCCCGTCTCTACTAAAAAATACAAAAAACTAGCCGGGCGACGTGACGGGCGCCTGTAGTCCCAGCTACTCGGGAGGCTGAGGCAGGAGAATGGCGTGAACCCGGGAGGCGGAGCTTGCAGTGAGCCAAGATCGCGCCACTGCACTCCAGTCTGGGAGACAAGCAAGACCCCATCTCAAAAAAAAAAAAAAAAAAGTGTAGGCTCTGAAATCAGGCAGCCTAGCTTTGCTTCTTAGGTTGTACTTTCTACCTGTATGACCATAGGTGCATTACTTTCCAACTCTCAGTTTCCTCACCTCTAAAATTGGAATAATAATCCCTACTTCATAGAACTGTCGTAAAAGAAGAAGAAACCCAAAGAAATATCTTAGAGCAATACTTGCCATAGTAATCACACAACAAAAGTTCAATCTCATTATTTTGAATGAGGATGATGGTGGTAACGGTGATGTGATGGAAGTGGTGGCAGTGGTGGTGATATGATGGAAGGTAGTGGTGATGGCTAAACAGATTTTTCTTTTAAGATTTTAAACTATTAAACTGTAGAAATGCTACTACTATTCCTTCTGCTCTTCAACTACTAGATCTCTCTTCATCTTCCCCATGTTTTTCTCCTAAGACCTCCTATAGGTCTTAGGAGAACTTTAGGAAAACCTAAGACCTAGGTTTTTCTCCTAAGACAATAACCAAACTTCTAAACTGTCTTTATTTTCATTCTGGCAGGTTGTGAAGACTTTATTAGCTTTGTGTTTGAATTTGGAAAGAGTTTATGTTCTATGCACCTGACTGAAGATGAAATTGCATTATTTTCTGCGTTCGTACTGATGTCAGCAGGTAAGATAACCAAATAAAAATAAAAATAGTTTTAGAATTGTCTAAGATAAAGAATTTTTACAAGGTCCATACGTTTAATAGCTGTAAAATATTTGGGAGCTACTAAGAGAGGTCTCCACCCTTATTAAATTGGATTTTAAGTCTTCAAATAACACCCTCTCTTCTCCACCCCCCAACACAAATATATATTCTTTTAAGAAAACCTCATGCCTTTCAGATAAAATGTAAAGAAATGAGAATTGAATAAAATCCAGTCCAGAATTAACCTCCTGATACCAAGAGAAATGCTGTAGTAGAATAGGGTTGCCTTTCTTAACACCAGTCTCCAGGATAACGTGATTTTTTTTTTTTTTTTTTACGGATTCTCGCTCTGTCGCCCAGGCTGGAGTGCAGTGGCCGGATCTCAGCTCACTGCAAGCTCCGCCTCCCGGGTTTGCCATTCTCCTGCCTCAGCCTCCTGAGTAGCTGGGACTACAGGCACCCGCCACCTCGACCGGCTAGTTTTTTGTATTTTTTTAGTAGAGACGGGGTTTCACTGGGTTAGCCAGGATGGTCTCGATCTCCTGACCTCGTGATCCGCCCATCTCGGCCTCCCAAAGTGCTGGGATTACAGGCTTGAGCCACCGCGCCCGGCCGATAACGTGATTTTTAAGACATCCTATTTTTCGTTAAAATCCATTTAGATGTCATCCACTAGATTATCTGAATTTAATCTGTGTTTTCAACCAGTACAGCATGTTTGGAGATCATCTCTTTGCTAAGTTACTACCTTCTATTTGGAAAACTTACACATAAAAACTGTATCCTAAATTAACCACCCTTAAGTCACTTGGAATTCTTTTTTTTTTTTTTTTGAGACGGAGTCTCGCTCTGTCACCCAGGCTGGAGTGCAGTGGCGTGATCTCCACTCACTGGAAACTCCGCCTCCCGGGTACACGCCATTCTCATGTTTCAGCCTCCCGTATAGCTGGGACTACAGGCGCCCGCCACCATGCCAGGCTAATTTTTGTATTTTTAGTAGAGATGGGGTTTCACCGTGTTAGCCAGGATGGTCTCAATCTCCTGATCTCGTGATCCACCCGTTTCGGCCTCCCAAAGTGCTGGGATTACAGGCGAGAGCCACCGTGCCCGGCCTGTCACTTGGAATTCTATTGACAATTTTAGTTGACAAAGATTACTAGAAAACTTTTGTATTTTTCAGAAAAGCTAGCAGGATTGATAATGAATATTTCATTCCGAAGTATGATTATTAGAACGTCCCGAGGGGCCATGATGGTTTCATTTGCATTCATATGAGTATGGCCTCATATTTAATTGTTTATCCTTTGGAAGGGAAGGATCCTTCCTTTATGTATTGGTAAAATGGAAAGGTTTAACACCCTGTTTTGTGACTTCCTTAGATCACTTTTCATTCCATTAGGAGAAATTTTGAAAGAGGAGTGAAACTGACCTCTGAGTCTCTAAATATTCATTGTGATATAATTATCTGTATCAAAAGCATCCGGAGAAGGGGGATCTTGACACCATCTCGGAGGAATGCTAAAGAATATCATTTTTTTATGTTTAGATCGCTCATGGCTGCAAGAAAAGGTAAAAATTGAAAAACTGCAACAGAAAATTCAGCTAGCTCTTCAACACGTCCTACAGAAGAATCACCGAGAAGATGGAATACTAACAAAGGTGAGTGCCAAAGGCTTCTGGTTGGCATGGCCTGAACTATCCCTTGGCACAAATCATGCTGCCAGTATGGTCATGTAAGTCATACGACCAATTCCCAAAAGTATCAGAAAGCAACAGGCTACCAAAAAGAAATAAATTTCCATTTCAGTAAAATTCTGTTGAGCCAAAACTCATTATTCAGTCTAAATTATACTTCTTATCATTGATTACAAAGTGTCCTGCAACAATAAGGCAATATAGGAAAAAAAGTTACATTCTAGAAATTCTCTTCCATCAAAGTTGGACATAAAGCAGAGTTAATATTCTGCACTGACATAAATTAGAAAAGTAATCTTTGAATTTATTTATTTTTTAGAGATAGGGTCTCACTCTGTCTCCCAGGCAGGAGTGAAGTGGCCCAATCCTAGCTCTATGCAACCTTGAACTTCTGGGCTCAAAAGATCCTCCTGTCTCAGTCTCCTGACTAGTTGAGACTACAGGCGTATGTGCTACCACACTTGGCTAATTTATTTATTATTTTTTGTAGAGATGGGTATCTCACTATGTTGCCCAGGCTGGTCTCGAACTCCTGGCCTCAAGCAGTCTTCCCTCCTCCACCTCCCATAGAGCTGAGATTATAGGAGTGAACCACTGTGCCCAGCCTATAATCTTTGAATTTAGAAAGAAGTTATAAAGGACTAAAAGACTTAATCAGAATGACCATATATACTAATATTAGTTCCACTTCCATTAAATTCATTAGTCATCAACAGTAAATGACTTCTGCATTTTTGTCAATTTCCCATCACTACTCTGTATTCAAAGCATAAGGTTGCATTTTTACCTATCATTATCTTTCACAATAAAAATATGATTGTAATGCCATTTTTTTAAATGTGCTAATATCCGTCAGTGCCACTGCTAGTAGTATGTATTTGGTCTTAGAAAAATCAGCCCTGTTCTTTCTTATGTATTTTATTGTGTGAGATGATGTGAGAGGTTTTTGGTTTTGTTTTCTTGTTTATTTGTTTGCTTGGTTTTTTTTTTTTTCTCCTTTATAGTTATGTTAGATCAGAAAGGGATAACTGGGGGTTAATTGCTGTTTTTGCTTTTGATTTCGCACCTGTTAGGTCAGAAAAGGGTAACTGGGGATTAATTGCTGTTTTGCTTTTGATTTTGCACCTGTTAAATGAGGACATGGGGCAGGAATGAGAAGTGGAAGGGAAGAGCCCTGTCAGGAGCTTCACTCTCTTCTCCATCTTTTTGCCCAAATGCAACGGTACCATTATGATCTCTGATTATAAACAGCACTTAACATGTAGACAAGATCTGGTGAAAACATTTCCTAGAGAAGGTTATTCTGGGTGAAAATAATAAGCAGTTTGCCTTTGTGAGGTGCTGTGGAATCTGAAAGTAATTTTGCAAATTGTGTCATTACCCTCAGCTGGTAAATGGTCAATGCTGGGACCTCCATCCAGGTCTTCTGACTCGATTATTTTGCTCAGACCCAGCATTGCTTTATTACAGGCAAAACTTCTTATCGAAAAGAAACTTGTAGTTATCGGAGTTGACTAGTGCCAGTTCTGCATAAAATGTGTAGAGTATGCCATCATCTCTGGTTGCAGTGCCCTCACTATCCACCCACTACTGCCCTTCACCTGCTTCTCTATCACCAGACATCTTCTTTTTGCACAGTGGTAAAGGGCAGGGTTCCAGCAAGTAGAGAGAAGGCATCTTGGAGTAGAAGGAGAAGTCAAGAGCCTTGGGTTCTGTATTAGTCTGCTGCTGACAAGCTGTGCCAACTTTTGCTTATGAACATCTTTTCTAGTTATTAAATTATTCATCTTGAAAATCATATTTAATGTATACTTGGCATTCTATGACATGACTATATCATCATTTATTTACTTATTTATTTATTTATTTATTTTAAGAGACAGAGTCTCACTCTGTCACCCAAGCTGGAGTGCAGTGGCGCAATCTTGGCTCACTGAAACTTCTACCTCCCGGGTTCTAGCAATTCTCCTGCCTCAGCCTCCTGAGTAGCTGGGATTACAGGCGCACACTGCCATGCCTGGCTAATTTTTTTTTCAGTAGAGACGGAGTTTTGCCGTGTTGCCCAGGCTAGTCTCGAACTCCTGAGCTCAGGCAATCCACCTGCCTCAGCCTCCAAAAATGCTAGAATTACAGGTGTGAGCCACCGCGCCCAGCCATCATTTATTTTTACCAATCCTCTGCTACAAGATGTTTAAGTTGCTTTAAGGGTGTTTCACCATTATAAACAATGTCATAAAGATCATTCAGATTCCCTGATCTCTGATGCTAATACCTGTTCTTGCCTGACAGTGTGTCCTTTCTTCCACTTACAGTTAATATGCAAGGTGTCTACATTAAGAGCCTTATGTGGACGACATACAGAAAAGCTAATGGCATTTAAAGCAATATACCCAGACATTGTGCGACTTCATTTTCCTCCATTATACAAGGAGTTGTTCACTTCAGAATTTGAGCCAGCAATGCAAATTGATGGGTAAATGTTATCACCTAAGCACTTCTAGAATGTCTGAAGTACAAACATGAAAAACAAACAAAAAAATTAACCGAGACACTTTATATGGCCCTGCACAGACCTGGAGCGCCACACACTGCACATCTTTTGGTGATCGGGGTCAGGCAAAGGAGGGGAAACAATGAAAACAAATAAAAGTTGAACTTGTTTTTCTCATGCATATGATTTCCATTATGCCTACAGATATGGACCCTTTTTCTGTCTTGACTTCTTGATCGTTGACCTCTGTTTACAACAGAAGGAGGGTACTAAAGTTGGAGGATTTCCTTTTCTTGTAGCTCACTGCCCACAGACTTTCTACAGAGTCAGCAATCTGTCAGTAACAACAGAGAGTCCAGCAATAATCGGTGACTGGTGTGCATAGCGGAGGTTGCGGCATTACTTTGCACAACTGGTTCTTTGTTTCATGAAGGAAGTTTTTATTTTTTCACCGATTATTGCCAGTCCGCAGGATGGCATGAAAAGGGTCCATAGTAGTAGCAACAATAGCATTATAATATATTACAGGGTAAATGGGCATGAAGACTATATATAGCTAAAAGAGATATTGTTTATATATTGTTTTAAGTAATATAAAATGTAGTTACTGGTGTAGCTTTTCCTGTTGAATTGATAAGGCACTTTCATTTTGCACCTTTTTCTTTAAATTAAATGCTAGCGTGTTCACTGTCGTGTCGCATGTGCACCAGAAACACAAGTTTAACTGAGAAGGCTTGGAAGGTACGTCGGGAGGTATTTATGCTGCTGTTTACAAAATTACTTTTAAAAGACTGGCTGGTCATATCTAGAAATCACCACGTTGGATTTTTTTTTTTTAACATGTGAATTTGGAATGAGAAACGGAACTCTCCCTAAATTATACTTTGCTTTTTGGTAAGTTTAAGGATAGATGTGTTTATGCTTCATACAAAGTTGAATGATTGATTGGCACGGTGGACGTATACCATCATGCTCTTTTTTTGTTTTGTTTTGTTTTGTTTTTAAAGCTTTTTAAAATGCCACCTCATGGAGGCAAGGGAGGGGAAGCTCATTTTACACAATTCGGTAGTTAAATATGGACTCGGTCTCAACTTGGAATTCTTATGCTTTGAGAACAAATCAATAACCAGAATATTTATTGGAATCTAGCTTTTATTATAAGAAGGACCCAAAGATTATATCTCGAGCAAACGCACACTCCCCATGTGAGGACATGAAGCATTTACTCTGTGAATGTTTAAATGTTCTTGGTATAATCTAGGAACCCTATGAGTTTATCTCAAAGTGAACTGATTCTAGATTTGTTGTCAATAGATGCTATATGTTGCTCTTCATATTTGAAAAACGATGGATAGGAGGGTGAGGGAAGCATACAACGTTGAACCAGTTTCTCTTATTTAAATATTAAATACTTTAAGCCTTTAAAGTGAAGTTGATGCTAGCTGCAAACATTTACTCTTGTATTTATCTTCACTAGGAAACTGTGGACTGTAATTTATTTTATTAAATATTTAGAAGATTATTTGGCTTGTGTGTTCAGGTGAGAAATACTGAGTTGTTTTTGTTTAATTTCATGGTTTTTTTTTTTTTTTATATAATCCCTAGTAGGGGAAGGGGAAAGGAACAGCCTGAAAACAGGTGTGCATATTTTAAAAACAAGTGACCTTTTGGGAATGTAGGCATTTAGACGATGATTTTAGTCGCACTAGGGGTGGGATTCAAACTACTGGTCAAAGACCATTTTGTACAGAAAAGGGAACATCTCCGATGGGTGTTAAGGTAGGAGTTTCCACACAGCCCTTTATGTCTGAGAAATAGTCTCCTCTGCCATTGGGGTCCCTGTGGAATCTTCTACAGGAACTGCAGCTCTTCACGTCATGCTGGGTTACCAGCATGGGCTTCCCAGAGCACTTCACTCTGTTTCTAACTCCACTGACTTTTCTGACTTGTTTCCTGAGGGACTTGGAAAAGGGGAAGGTATTATTCACACAGATGTGTGTATGAAGCCTAAATAACATCCAACTTTTTTTTCAAAAACATAGTAAGAGTTTAACCATAAATAGAAGATAAGAGTAATATTCCTTTAAATTTCTTACAGGCATGTAAAATTTTATGTGTTTATAGAGAGATGCTAACTGTCAGCATATAGTATTTATATTGGGGCAAGAAGGGTTAAATCAAATCTTTAATTTAAGTAAGCATAGTTCCTTTAAAGATCAATAGTATTTATACTCTGAAAAGAGTACCAAGCTTAGTTCAGTTATTTATTCATCCATTTTTTTTTCTATTATTTCTCCTTTGAGGGGAAATGGTGTTTTGTTTTTGTTTGAGTTTTGTTTTTTTGGTTTTTTGGTTTTGGTTTTGTTTTGTTGTCATTCAGATTCACTAAATTTGGGGATGGTTTTATTAAAGTATATTAACTTCTTTTTAACCAAAGCTTTCTGAATATGACCAGCCTCAGGTGCTAGCGCATTAAAGAGCAACTAAACCTAATTCCAGTGTCCATTTGTGAAATAATAAAAGCTAATTAAATTTCTCTAAGGGTGAGAGAGAACATAATGTTGAACTTAAAAGAAATTCCTTTTCCCAGAAAGGATTCTGCATGTAGCTACAAACAAACAAACTCATGCTCTAACCTCAGTAATAGTCATGCCATGGTGACATTGCTTTTATGGTAAACCAAGATAGGTAATATGATGCTTCTTCCTAGGTGTTTCTGAAAGGAAAGCAGGGGTGGAGCTTAAGAGCCAAGTCCACTGATTGACATAGTGGAATGGAATAGTAGACAGAGACATGCTCCGTGAAACAAGAAAACAACTGACCACTCTTTGGATCGAAGTTGGGATCTGATGTTAAACAATAAATTCAGTTTAAAAAAAAAATATGGAGCTCAGAAAAGGATGTGAAAAACTTTGTATTTTCCTTTCTTCATTATTATAAAAACACCTATGTGACCTATAAAATACTTGGGTGATAGCAGAACAATTATCCTAAATAGTTCTTATAATTAAAGTTTCCTAAATTTCAATCTCCAATATTTTAAGGATTAGAACCACATCAGTGTCAGCCCCGCTGCTATAATGCCTTTATACAATTTTTTTTACATAAGGCAAATAAGGCTTTTGTACAAAGCCTGAATACCTTCTGTTCCACTGGTGTCCAAATGGTTATTATATTGTGAAAAACCTGGCCTTGGTCACAATGCAAACAAAAGTACAGATGAAAGTGCTTTTTGGACAGTTTGCAAATTGTGTTAAAGCTATGGATTTTTTTAAAAGTGTTCAGCATCTTAATTTGTATTAAAGCTTTGGATTTTTTTTTAAAGTCTTCAGCATCCTAATTCACCCTTTCTAACTTAAGAAAAACGTGACTTAAGACACTGCTTCTAAGTTTGGTTGTTCTTTATAGTGTGGATACCCAGTTATCTGTGAGCATATGGGGGTGGGCTGAGAGTCAGGTGAGGAAGGAGTGTGTGTGTGTGTGTGTGTGTGTGTGTGTGTGTGTGTGTGTGTGAGATTTGCATGTGTATGATGTGTGTGCGTCGGACCGCTTCTAGGCTACTAAGTGTCAATGGAAAAGAAAATGTATTCAAAATACTTAAATCAAAACTAGAAGATGGGGAAAAAAAAAGATTTATTCTATACAAAGCCTTGTCTGGACCACTTTAGAGAGACTTCTATTTTTTTAACCCTTCTATAAATATTTGATGGCACTTGAAATATTCCTGCAATAAAATGTGATTTGTGTAAAGAAAAAAAGATTTTGTAATGTGAAACAAAGAAAGAAAGTAATGTAATTTTCTAAAAAAAAAAATACAAACAAACAAACTTTGTATTATTTTCTTGATGGAATTTGTCTATCTGTCTTTGGAAAACTTTTTATTTCATTGAATGTGCCATAGTAGAAATGTGTGTTTTTAGTTTTAGACTAAGGAATAGCTAGCTGTTGTGTTCCGACATTCCAAAATGCAAAACCTAGTAGTATCTTTCATGAAAAGGTTTAAGTAGTATGTAAGCTTTTCTCATTGTTGCTTTTTTGCACATGTTCTTCATTCCTCTCTAGTGCAATATGTACATAGAGCACTTGCGGGTGTACCTTGATCCCTCAGGGAAAAATACATATTTGTACAGTTTTTTGGGGTTTTTGTTTTTTGGGTTTTTTTTTGTTTTGTTTTGCCTTTTGTTTTTGGCTAAGGAATGTCGATCGAATCACTTCTTATTGTTGAGGGGCAGCCAGATAATAATCCTAAAGCCACTGTTTCAAACATTGATTGTTTAAATCATATGTCCTTCCAATGCTATTATTTTAAGATAATAATAAAAAGTTATTTTCTGACAGTTCTTTGTGCTGATTGGTGAAAAACAAGGGTAAATAAGCACCTTATAATTGACTTACTGTGAATGACAATCCATCTTGATATCAACGATAGAAGCCCTATCATTTTGGAGTTGGGGTTAAGAGTCAGAAACAATGTGCTCAGGGATCTCCTAAAACTCTTAAAACAGGGTGGCCAGTACTACTGGGACAAATTGTGTTTTTTATTATTAATAATAATGATAATAATACTATCCCTCCAAGGCACAAGTGAACTATATAGAACTGAGTGTATGTAAACTCTTTACTCTCGTCTCATTTTGTTGAGTTCAGAACTTGATGTGCTCTTCAGTCTTGTGTTTCAAAACACTGAATAACTTCCAAAGCAAAGTTATGCCAGTGTGTTCAAAAGATAAATTAATAGATAATGTACCAGCAAAGAGCATCATTCAAAGTATAGTCCTTGCATATTCCAGTTACCATTTCTCTAATAATTAAAATATTCATGATAAATATATATATAGCATCATATGTTAAAATCTATTTCAAATTCTACATATTAAGGATGAAAATTTTTAAAACCAGTAATAAGAGGAGAGACCTGCCTATCAGTATAGTGATATAGGTAAAAGATAAACTACAAAATACCAGCAATTAACTATTGTTTTCATGTGTTCTCCTCTAGAAGCAAACCAAAAATTCCTTCATGGAAAACAATTCTTACTTCTACATGTGTAGTTTATATCTGATGCATTACAAGAGCTAATGTTTAAAGACAAAACAAAACCTGCCTGTATGACAGCAGCACCTCGAGCCAACATTTAGTGTTACATGTTATATTTTTTTGTTATCATATTCCACATATTACTTTCCATAAAGTCAAAGAAGTTCAATGTAATTGTTGGCTCTGATTCTTCCATCTTGGGATACACATTCACAAGAAGATTTATATATTTTCTTACTATGACAGAGGAACGTAATCTGGGAAAACTTCCCATGTCTATAAGATGAAAAGGATACCTTTACCATGTTGTTTTTGATAATAAAGAATATGGAAACCAGTAGAAATCTCTCCTCTCTGTGTGTATTTGTATATGTGTGTATACACACACACGTTATTGACATTTTTACATGTGATTGCCTCTTCTTATAAAGTTATGATATAGAACCCCATGAAAACAACTTCATATTATAGATCAAGTAATGTGCCCAGAAATGCAATTGCAACAGTAAATCTTGATCTATTGGTAATAGTCTATGATACAGGTCTTCTATTCTGTACCTAAATATAATATTAGTAAAGAGGTTCAATCAGATTTTATTATAGAGACCTTCCTCTTGCTATTTATTTTTAAGAGATGAGAAGACTGACTAACAATGTCTCCACAGTGCAATTGGTTTCACTTCTGGATCTGTCTGTCTGTCTGTGTAGGTGAGATCAGTGTTGTCAGGCTCTCAGAATAATTTTTAAAAGAATCCAGAAGCCTGACTTCATACCAAGTAGCCATCCTAGATGGGCAGGGGGGATCTCCATGTTCAACCAAACCCTCAGAACTTAGAGCAATAAATACATTCAGTCATTTATGTATAAATGAATGACAGAATATTCAATCCAAATAGAAACAACCTTTTTTCAGTGATGCAACATAACATGGAGTCTTATATTGAGAAAGTGAATATGAATATTTTAAATAGATGCCTAGAAAATCTGTGTTTGCTGTTTACATTTAGTGTACTTTGCCACATTAGCAGTACCACACTTCTTTTTCTTTCATCCTTCTAAGAACTAATGAAAGATAACTTGCTATTAGCTTTGACATGCTGCACATGCCATTATGTTGTTCTCTAAGAACAACTAAATTCTCTCCAGTGTTCATGTGTGATTCCTTTTTCATCATTATTACTTTAATGTGGATGAATACTATTTCTAGGAACTTGTCACTGAACAGATTGCATATGTAAATGCAGATAATTCTTCAGCAATATAGTGAAAATGATTTCACAAAAAAAAAAAAAAAATCCATATGTACTGTATACATCTTCCTGAATCCAAAATTCTCTTGTTATCCACACAGTCTGAAATCTCATATTAAACAGTGGTAAATTTTTAAACATTAGGACATTAGCTGGCTGCTTCTATAAATGTACCTGTACTGTCTGCCTGCTCCTTTTGTGGAGATGTGTTTTTGTATTGGATGTTTGGGCCAATGGGAGGCTTCAAGCTACAACATATTTTCCCAGTTTAAATAATATTTAACATATGACAAACCCCAGACAAGGCTTTTAATATGTATAAAGAACTGCAGTGTTAGGTGGTTTATTTGCAAACCGTTTTCAATGTTGTCCATTTTTATGGCACCTTTAACAATATTCTTGTTTCCAAAGTACAAAAAAAATAGGTTAAATAATCTAGCCATAACTGAATGTCAAGCAATAAAACAAATGACTTTTGTGCATAGACTTAAAAAATACAAATTTTAGACATCTGCATGTAAATGCAATCTCTTGTTTACTGCTTTCTTCAACTTGAGCAATCGATTCCTTATTTACTATTAACTTAAGAACTTGTAATGGCCTGTAAACATTTTCTCTCTTACTCTTCTTTCAAATTTACCTGTCCCTGCTTTTGAGTCATAATATTTAATGTTGTTCTGCACATCTCTATACAGTTAACTTTTTGGCTTTCATTCTGTATAGATAAGAAAATGTTATATTATAAACAGCCTACTCAGTGCAAATATTTATCTGTTTATCAAATCCACAATATGCTGTATAATACCAGTTTTACTATATAATCTATTTTAGACATAGCTGTTTAGAACTAGAGTGTGCTATTTTTGTGTTTTTCTGATGTGTGGTGCTAGACAAGTTACTTTTGTGAACAACAAAAAATATCCCTTTTACTCCTAGACAATACCACCTTTGGGTCTTGTTAATTTCACTGAGTATAACTATATATTTGTATATATATACATATATATATATATATCTACCTATGCCCAACTGGCAGCTGTATCAGAGTGCTGGATTTGGGACATGCTTTTCTCTTTAAATACATAATATCGTTATATAAATTATTCTAGAGTGTATTTAATTAGGATAAAATTACTTCCTTAGTATGGATATTTGACATCTATAGGGTGAATTTGTTTATAAATATGGCTATATGGAAACTTATTAGCATTTACTTTATGTTTGCTACTTGGCTTTATAGCATATCTCCTAAGCTGAAAAATAATTTGCCAGGCCTTCAAGATCCTAAAGAAACTTGTTTAATGGAGTAATATACTTTTTTTTCTTATTAAGGAATTATATTATGGGCACCTAACAGAGTTGTATTCTTAGCTCCTATTATAGATAATAGGCATTTATATAAAATATCCTAGATGGCTTGATGGCAGAATAAACCTTTCCCCTCCTACCTGAGTCATGAGAAGGATGGAGACGTCCTCTGCCAGAACATGGGCCATAAAGCAAATTCGACACGGGATGTTCTGTTTCAATATAACCTCAACCAGTTCCATGAACTGAGTGAAGGACCTTCATTTTTAAAGTTATTTAATAATGAGCTTAATTAAGCCTTTCTACGCATTCTCCCAAGATCTATTGGCATTATTACAAAGCAAAGTTTATCAAATATCTAACTAAGGATGTAGTTAACCTTATTAAATATTGATTAGAATTGTTCTGTAATATTACTGAATTTGTAAGATCTTTAGCAAAGATTTTTGAGCAATTTATAAATGTAGAGCAAATGTTTCTGTTTACTGCACTTTTTGTAATTGAAGGTGATAAATTCTCAAGCCATGATTATTGGCTTCCATGCACTGCATATTTACCCACAATTCTAGACATTTTCCATTTTTGTGGAAGAGTTGCTGTTACCTTAACTATAAATGCAATTGTGTGGTTAATGAGAGCTAATGCTAGTAGTTAACCTTTTAAAGTGGATTGGCTACAGTTGAGGGAGAAATCTCTTTTAATATAAATCACATCATTCCTTAACTGCCTCGCTTGGAAAGAGATTGAAACCTTTTTTTTTTAAAGCACCATTTAGCATCCTAAGCTTCCTGAGGGTAGAGATTGTATGTATCTCTTTGCGTCTGCACAATGGCTAGCACAGGTCAGCATTTGACAATTGTTAAATGATAACAAGTGTGCCCCAATTAAAACTTTCTTCCTGGGTTGTTTTGTGAAATTTATAAAGTAAGCCAAGCCTTATGGTTAACATTCTCTTCTACAACCAAGTATTAAAGCCACATTTAAAAAGACCACATGAAATGCTGATTCTAATTGTGTGTAGGTCTTGAGGATGAAGCACACAAATTTCACAAACCTCTGTGTGAGTAAACAAACTCAGCCTTCTGTAAATATACATGCAAGTTTGGAAACAGTAATACTGTACCTATGAATATATGGTCTGTTTTGTGTACAGTATGTAAAAACTCCTTTTCTGCCACACTAAAAATGCAAGCCATTTATGGGAATCCTAAAACTAGTACTGAACTAAAACTTTGCTAATGATCTTTATTAGAGGATCATCCAACTTTCCACTTACCTTGGGTTTTCTTTTCAATTCACTCTTACAGTAGTCTGCTTATTTCCAGCTGTTTATTTTATTGAGTCCTGAATTTAAAAAAAAAAAAATATTTTGATTCATTTTGTAAATACAAGCTGTACAAAAAAGAGAGATTTAATGTTGTCTTTTAAATACTCCAATTTTCATTCTAATATGAATGTTGTTATATTGTACTTAGAAACTGTACCTTTAATATTACATTACCTTTATTAAAAGTGCATTGAACACATCAATTTTAGATGTGCTTTATGTACTGTTATCCTATAATAAAACTTCAGCTTCTAATGGAACATTTGCCTTTTCTTCTTTTTTCTTGGTTATTGAATTGGACTGTACATAGTTTCCTAGCTTACATGTTGCCTCTAGTGAAGGGTCTAGCAGAGACTCGGTAAGTATGGTCCAGACTAGCAGCACGGCATCTCCTGCGACTTTGTTGGAACTGCAGAATCCCAAGCACGCCCCAGACCTACTAAATCAATCTGCATTTTTATAGGATCCCAGGTGATCTGTATGCACATTACAGTGTGGGAAGCACTGGTGTATAGTACAGCACTTTTTTTTGGTTTGTTTGTGACGGAGTTTCTCTTTTGTTGCCCAGACTGGAGTGCAATGGCGTGATCTCGGCTCACTGCAACCTCCACCTCCCAGGTTCAAGCAATTCTCCTGCCTCATCCTCCCAAGTAACTGGGATTACAGGCTTGCAGCAACACACCTGGCTAATTTTGTATTTTTAGTAGAGACTGGGTTTCTCCATTTGGAGGCTGGTCTCTAACTCCTGACCTCAGGTGATCCACCCACCTCGGCCTCCCAAAGTGCTGGGATTACAGGCGTGAGCCACCATTCCCGGCTTTTTTTTTTTTTTTTTTTTAGACGGAGTCTCACTCTGTCGCCAGGCTGGAGTGCAGTGGCACGATCTTGGCCCACTGTAACCTCTGCCTTCCAGGTCCAAGCGATTCTCCTGCCTCAGCCTCTCGAGTAGCTGGGACTACAGATGTGTGCCACCACACCCGGCTAAG